TTTTTTTTAGAGAGAGAGAATTTTTTAATATTTATTTTTTAGTTTTTGGTGGACACAACATCTGTATTTTATTTTTATGTGTGCTAAGGATCGAACCCAGCACCCCGCACATGCCAGGAGAGCGTCTTACCGCTAGAGCCACATTCCCCAGTCCTTACATATGGTATTTTTAACCCAAATTAAGTGTGCATAAAAAAAAAATGTGGCACCTTCCCAACTTTGAGTGCCCTCCCTCTCTGGCTGTAGGTTCATATTCAATAACTGAATTATGGTCTACCCTAGTGATTTCATGTTAATTACTCTAAAGACTAACTCCAAGCAGGGGTGATGGCACACACCTGTAATCCCAGCGGCTTTGGAGGCCGAGACAAAAGGATCCCGAATTCAAAGCCACCCTCAGCAATGGCGAGGCACTTAGCAACTCAGGGAGACCCTGTCTCTAAGTAAAATACAAATAGGGCTGGGATTGTGGCTCAGTGGGTCTCGTGCCCCAAAAAAAAAAAAAAAAAAAAAAAACCACAAAAAAAATCAAAAAAACAACCTTTTAAAAGATACATTTATCTGGTCAGTATATAGAAATGAAATAAATTTTCCTATTAAAAGAGAATGCCAGAGCTGGGAATATTGCTCAGTTGGTAGAGTGTTTGCCTTGCATGCATAAGGCCTCTGGGTTCTAATCCCCAGAACCACACACACAAAATAAATAGTGCCAGACAGCCAGAAGAATGAGAAATTATACTCCATTATATGTGATGTATCCAAAGTGCATTAAGTGAGGCACAGGGATCACTTTGTAATAATGAAGAATATAAGATAATATGAAAACATAATAGTGGGGCTGAGGGTATAGCATTGGCTTAGCATGCGGAAGCCTTGAGTCCAATACACAATACAACAAGGAAGAAAAAAGAAAAGAAAGAAAGAAAGAGAAAAATAAAACAGTAGGGGCTCGGGATGTGGCTCAAGTGGTAGCATGTTCACCTGGCATGCGTAAGGCACTGGGTTCGATCCTCAGCACCACATAAAAATAAAGATATTGTGTCCACCAAAAACTAAAAAATAAACATTTAAAAAATAAAATAAACAATAGTTATGAATCTTGTTGTATGAAGTAACAAACCATCAAACCTTAGAACAAAAAATTGGAAAAGGCTCAAGGAGAAACAAATGTAATAAAGATATTCATCTTTCAACACATGATGATAAGTATAAGAAAGAAAAGCTTTGGAAGCTCAAATTAGTAAAATAGGTAAATCAAATTCTATAACATAAACACAGAAGACAATTTACTTTCAAGTGCCCGTGAAATTAAAAAAAAAAAAAAAATGACCATGTATTAGTTCACAAAAAAGTCTTCAATAAATTACCAAAATAATAGTAGGAACTTAAGTAAAACCACCTGAAATTTAGAATTTTGTTTTAATCACATGTTAGATCAACTTAAAACCAGAATTGCAGTATAAAAATGATGATAATTAAATCATTTTACCAGAATAAGTTGTGAAGTTTTGCTAAAAGTTTGCCATAAGGAAAATTCACTATCTTAGGTGACTATTATGCAATTAGAAATGGAAATAAATAAGTTAAATATTCAACTTGAGTATGAAGAGCTGGGGTATAGCTTGGTGGTAGAGCACTTGCCTAGCATGGCTAAAGCCATGAGTTCAATCCTTAGTACCGAAAAAAAGGAAAAAAAAATGAAGAGTAGGAAAAGAGCTATAAAATAGTTTTTAGAATGAAGAAGTAATAAGAATATAGGGTCTGGGGCTGTAGCCCAGTGGCTGAATGCTTGCCTACACATAAAAGGCACTGGGTTCTATCCTTAGCATAAAAATAAGCAAATAAAATAAAAGTCTATCCATCTACAACTACAAAACAATTTTTGAAAAAGAATAGAGGCAGGCAAAGCACGCTATCCGCCTCCCAGCAGCTCCCCTCGCCGCGTACACCAGCCCGCCCGCGCCCACCATGGCCACTATTCAGCAGCTGGAAGGAAGATGGCGCCTGGTGGACTGCAAAGGCTTTGATGACTACATGAAAGAACTAGGAGTGGGACTGACTATGAGGAAAATGGGCGCAATGGCCAAACCAGATTGTATCATCACCCTTGACGGCCAGAAGCTCAACATAAAAACTGAAAGCACTTTGAAAACAACACAATTTTCTTGTACCCTGGGAGAGAAGTTTGAAGAAACTACAGCTGATGGCAGAAAAACTCAGACGGTCTGCAGCTTTGTTGACGATGCATTGGCTCAGCATCAGGAATGGGATGGGAAGGAAAGCACAGTAACAAGAAAATTGAAAGATGGGAAGTTAGTGGTGGAGTGTGTCATGAATAATGTTACCTGTACTCGAGTCTATGAGAAAGTAGAATAAAAATTCCATCATCACTTTGGACAGGAATTAGCTGAAAGAATGAAGAAGCTCAGTTCAATGAGCCAATCTCCAGACTGCTTTTTTTTTTTTTTCATTACTGTGTTCAATTATCTCTATCACAAACATTTTACATGCAACTATTTCAAAGTGTTAGTTTAACTAAGATCATCCCTTTGGTTAGTAAATAAATGTGTTTGTGCTAAAAAAAAAAAAGAATAGAGTCAGAAAACAATGGAAAAAATAAAATTAGAACTGTTAAATCTAAGAGTTATTTGAAGGAAAAAAAGATTAAATGATGGGAGGAAGCATCTATAGACAGAATTAGTTAGTGTGGGAATTGACAGCTAATGCAGAGAAAATTAAAACAAAGTTGATGAAGAATGCCCCTATAAAATTCACAGGTAGAATTCTTTAATTTTTTGTATTACCATGGATTGAACCCAGGGTTGCTTAACCTCTGCAGCCCTTTTTGGTATTTTATTTAGAGACAGGGTCTCACTAATTTTCTTAGGCCATGCTAAGTTGCTGAGGCTGGCTTTGAACATGCGATCAGGAGCCTTAGCCTCCCCAGTCACTGGGATTACAGGTATGCACCACCACTCCGGGCTCTTTCAAATCTTGAATGTATAGATTTTCTTTTCTTTTCCTTTTTTCTTTGGACCAGGGATTGAACTCAGAGGCACTTAACCACTGAGCCATATCCCCAGCCCATTTTATTTTTTGTTTTGAGACAGGGTCTCACTAAGTTGCTGAGGCTAGCCTTGAACTTGTTTTCCTCCTGCCTCCTTCTTCCAAGTTGCTGGAATAACAGGCTTGTGCCACTGCCCCAGCAAAACTTAAACTTTTTTAAAGTCAATATACCAATGATATATCTTTGGTGTATAGCATAGAAAATTTATAAGCATATGGCCTATCTCAAGAATGCAAGGATGGCTCATCATTAGGAAATCTATTTGACTGTAGTAAATATTTTTCACCATTAGGGGAAAAACTTTCCTCATCTCAGAAGATACTGACAGTGTTTAACAAAATTCAAAATCTGTTTATAATTTGTAAAATACTAAAAGTAGGAATAACTGTATATTTCATACTGGTTTAACATTTAGAAGCATTTCTATTAAAGGACAAGACAACGAATCCCACTATTAACTATTGCTGATACTATTAAATGTTGATCTGTAAATGTGGATCAGTGCAATTAAATTAGAGGAAATAAAGAAACTTAAATATTAAAAATGGGTGGCTTTTCTTTTTTTCCCAGATACTTAATTATAAGCCTGGTTAGGGGGGTTACAAAATCAACTGAAATGCAGAAAAATGCAGTAAGGATCTGGACAGCAAAATTAACGTTCAAACAACAGTAGCGGGGCAAGAAAGCCGGAAGTTCAATGCGAATACGCGAGCACAAGCACGTGGGTATAGAGGAGCACGTGGGCATAGACGTGGGTATAGACGTGGGCACGCGATTGCTCAGTGGCCGGAAGTGCCTGCGTGTGGTGCCCAGGCGCATGCGCTTGGTGTTCCCAGAAGAACGAGCGTCTTCTGACTCAACCGCCTGTAATTTGCCTTAGAGCCCACGCTTTCTTCAAGCACAGGCACTTTCCAAGCTCGTGCCTTCCTCTGCAGTTCGTGCTTTTGTACCTGAACCTGCATTCTCCGTGGTTCTCCGCCATCTCCTGGCCTGTACCAGCTGCGGAGTAGCTGAGACCACTGCAAAGTCTCTGCCATGTCCTCAGACAGCGTTATCTACATTACCACAGAAAATTTGGAGATGCCTGTAGATGTTGTAGAACTGCACCAGATTAATGTGGAAACGGTTCCTTTGGAGACTATGGCCATGCAAACCATTGAAGTGTACGAGGATATTAGCGGTAATTGGGTCCACGGTGGCCACAACCACCCACCGCTAATTGCACTTCAGCCTCTGGTCACTCCCACTGCCGGCCACGGAGACCACGATCAGGAAATGATCATGGTGCAGACACAAGAGGAGGTGGTGGGTTACTGTGATGCAGACAACCTGCCAGCCAACAATGAGCTCGAGGGCGAAGTGGTTGACCCAGTCGGCAGTGAAGATGTCAGTTTCCAGCAGACCCTAGCATCTCTTTCTGGCTCTACCAAGTCCTCAGCCTATGGTCACAGTGGTGGGAAGCACACCAGCCGGAGTGGCAAGTACAGCAGCAAGAATGCCAGCAGTGAGGCCAAGGTAGGAAAGGGCAGCTCTGAACTGGGCAGTAAGAAGTGGGAACAGAAGCAGGTGCAGATTCAAACCCTGGAGGGAGAGTTCTCTGTCACTATGTGGTCCTCAGTTGACAAAGGAAACCAGGGCACAGAGGTTCAAGGACAGACTGAAAACTCACCTCCTGATTATTCTGAGTACATGACAGGGAAGAAACTTCCTCCCGAAGGAATACCAGGTATTGACCTCTCTGATCCCAAGCAGCTGGCAGAATTTACCAGAATGAAGCCAAAAAAACCCAAAGAAGATGGCCCAAGAAACATCGCTTGCCCTCATAAAGGCTGCGTGAAGATGTTCAGGGATAATTCTGCTATGAGAAAACATCTGCACATCCACGGTCCCCGAGTCCACGTATGTGCAGAATGCGGCAAAGCTTTCGTTGAGAGCTCCAAGTTAAAGCGACATCAGTTGGTTCACACTGGAGAGAAGCCCTTTCAGTGCACCTTTGAAGGCTGCGGAAAGCGGTTTTCTCTGGATTTCAACTTGCGCACCCATGTACGAATCCACACCGGAGACAGGCCCTACGTGTGCCCTTTCGATGGCTGTAATAAGAAGTTCGCTCAATCAACTAACCTGAAGTCGCATATCTTAACGCATGCCAAGAACAAGACAAGCCAGTGAAAAAAGATCCTTCCCCAATTCGGGAAGTATCTTCCACTGGTATGGTTGAGAGTATGTCTGCCCTTTGTTGTTTGAGAAAAAAAAAGGTGTTTTCCAAGAAAAAAGGAAAACGTATCCTGAATATGCAAGGTCATGTTTTGATAGAATAGTAAAAGTTAAAATATTTCTGAAAAAGCAAATTTTATGTAGCATAATATTGCTAAAATGCACTCACTGCCTTTTTCTGTAATGATATTTCTGTGAAGGTTTTTCCCTACAGGAGAATGATTGATGAGCCTGACATCAAAGGACAGTTTGTACAAGCTGAGTTAGAGACTTTTGTCATTCTTAAAAATATGAAGTTCACTTATTGCCTATATTTTAAATTTTTATTTTCCAAATGTTCATCTTTATACTCTTAGAAATATGTTTGGGAATACTGTTTTGATTTCTTTTTTTTTTTTTTTTTGGAGGTGAATAAGTTTGACTGCAGAGGTTTTCTTTAAAAGAATGAACATTTACATACTTAGGTATTTTCCTGCTGAAGAAAAGTAACTTTTATTTGCTGTCTTAATTTTGGTTGTATTCTTTGATGTTAATACATTTTGCATAACTAAGCTGCATTGAATTGAATGACATTGAACATTAGATGATTTGGTAGTATTAGTCAGTTTGAGCCTATTTTGGTCAATTTTATTTTCCAAGAAATATTACCAGATGTTATCATCCAGTGTGATTTCTTTGCTTGTTAGAGTAGTGCTCAGATAGAGAATATATTGTTTGCATATTGATTTTCAACACGTTATATATACATCCTGTGTAATAGAAAAAAAGCAAAAATAAAATAGCTGTTATAAAAGAAGGAAAATAAAGCTTGTCTGTATAAATACAGTGTCTAGGAAATGTAGGAAAAGTGAAGGGTGCTACTGGTATCTGATGGGTATAGGGAAAGAGTACTGCTAAATGTCCTAGAGTGCATAGAACAATCCCCCACGACAAAGAATTATCCTGTTGAAATGCCTGCAGTACCAGTGTTAAGAAACCTGCTCTAGACAGTCAAAGTTGTAACAGTTTTCGTGTGTGCTTATAGACAAATTATTAATGGATGAGAAGGTTAGAAAGAAATTTGTTCCACCATCCCCATTGTCACTTAAGCTATCGTAGACAAATTCAGAATCTAGAGGGGTGATACTGTACTAGGCTGCATGCCTGGCAAGAAATAGGAGACCACCTGTAGAGTCAAGGAATCTATGAAGCTGTGTGCCCTTACCTTCATTCCTTTTGTTCATGCCTTGTTTCTTTGACTAGTATTAGCACCATGGGGTTGGGAGTGGGGGTGGGGAGGAAGATGGATAAAGGGATAGATGCGGGCAGCAGGGGCATGAGGGGGTCATGGGGGGAAAAAGGAATCACGGAAAGGGAGGGGGAGCCCGTGGAGCCGTGGGGGAGGGCACGCACCCGCAGTATTCCGAATTGGTTTTCCCAGAGTGAATTGAAGAAATTAGAGGGTTTTTTGTTTTACTTTTGTTAATAAAGCTATGAAAGCTGTATAATAAAACACATGTGAGTATCTTTTGTAATCTTAAAGTGGAAAAAACTACAAAGGAACCCATTGACCAAGCCAAAACTTAAAATGCCTATAAATGCAAAACTACAAAACGAGCCAAAGAAACTCAGAGGAGAAAATTATAATACCTATTACAAAAGACTAAATTCCTCTATTTATATTTTATAAGTAATAATGTATACAAATTAGGTTTTTAAAGGAGAGCGCTTAGCAAGTGACCAAGGATGTACACAGGCATTGGATAAAAATATGCAGCTCTCTGAAGAAATAGGAATAGCCTTATAGAATGTGTAGGATCTTTCATGAGACACAGAATCATGCCAGGTGTGGTGGCACATGCCTGTAATCTGGCTCAGGATTCAGAGACAGGAAGATTGCAAATTCAAAACCAGCCTTAGCAATTTAGCAAAGCCCTGAGCAATTTAACAAGGCCCTGTCTCAAAAAAAAAAAAATGTTGGGGATATAGCTCCCTGTTTAACTGCCCCTGGGTTCAAACCCCAGTACCATAAAAAAATAGAAATCAAGACAGATTTCATTTTTTCACCCAGCAGATTGTATCAAAGACTAAATTTAATATAGTATTCACTCTATTCAGAGGGAAGAGAAACTTGAAATATAGGAACATAAATTAATGTAAATTTACTGAAGGACAATTTTATTTCACATACTTTTTTGATCCAACAATTCTATTTCTAGATAATTTTCTATCTCCTTACGGATGCGTGCTTAATTAGATGCATAATAAAAGCAAACCAGTTGCCAGGCACTGTAGTGTGTGCCTGTAATCCCAGCATTTCTGTAATCCCAGCTGCTCATCCCATTAGCTTGTGAGGCTGAGGCAGGAGGATCAGGAGTTCAAAACCAGCCTCAGCAACAGTGAGGTGCTAAGCAACTCAGTGAGACCCTCTCTCTAAATAAAATACAAAATAGGGCTGGGGATGTGGCTCAATGGTTGAGTGCCCCTGAGTTCAGTCCTCGGTACCAAAACGGGGTGGAGGGTAGTCATGACTAAATATGGGAAAAGGTCTAAAATATAGTATAATACATAATTTAATACCATTGCTAGGGTTTTTTGTTTGTTTGTTTATGTTGCTGGGGATCAAACCCAGTGCCTAGCACATATCAGACAGCTGCTCTACCACTGAGCACACCCCCAGCCCACCTTTGGTGTTTTTAAGAGATGTATCTGTATATAATAGAAGATATCATTTATCCCACAAATTCTAGACCAGACTTACTCTGGATATTTCTAGAATTAACCACTTAGAAAACTTTTTTAAAACAATTTGCAATGTGTACATGGTAAATGGAACATATGTTTACTAGGTATCTACCTGCTTTAATAACTAAAATAACAGTGGCCTAAATTATCATAAAATTTTCCAAATATAAGCAGTTCAGTGTTGATATGATGATTCTGTGATTTGGCGGACTTTTGGGCTCTTCCTGTCTTGTGAGCTCTTCTATTCCCAGCATTCAGCTTCTTTGTCATAGACTCAAGTCCAACTCCATCATAGTACATTCCAGCGCAGAGTTGTTCCTGTTACTTCCACTTATACTAATAATGCACCTACCCTGGTTCTAATAATGCCTCTAACCTGTCAATGAGAAAAACTTAGGGAAAAAGTGAAGACTGTATATAGGAGGAGAGTGTGCTAGTGAATGCTTAACTCCTGGCTCTGGAGGGCAGGGTGGGAAGCCCTGATACTAGCATTTGCTGGTTTCTATGGTGTAAATGCTCCCACCATGATCAGTTTCAAGCTACTGACCTACAGTTTCTGAAGAAGGAATTGGGAAGAAATGTACACAATTGACCTGGCAAGCTGGTAGGAACAGGTCTACCACACCAATGAATTCATGTAATTATCTCTGCCACAGGATAAGGTATAAGTCCTAAGAGAAAAAAAATGAGTTTTTTAATTGGTTGTTCAAAACATTACTATGCTCTTGACATATCATATTTCATACATTTGATTCAAGTGGGTTATAAACTCCCATTTTTACCACGTAAACAGATTGCAGAATCACATTGGTTACACATCCACATTTATACATACTGCCATACTAGTGTCTGTTGTATTTTGCTGCCTTTCCTATCCCTTTCCTATCCCCCCTCCCCTCCCCTCCCCTCCCATTTTCTCTCTCTACCCCATCTACTGTAATTCATTTCTCTCTCTTGTTTTTTTCCCCTTTCCCCTCACATCCTCTTATATGTAATTTTGTATAACAATGAGGGTCTCCTTCCATTTCCATGCAATTCCCCTTCTCTCTCCCTTTCCCTCCCACCTCTCCACCCTGTTTAATGGTAATCTTCTTCTCATGCTTTTCCTCCCTGTTCTGTTTTTAAAAAACTATGAAACGGGCTGGGGTTGTGACTCAGTGGTAGAGCGCTTGCCTAGCATGTGTGAGACACTGGGTTCAATTCTCAACACTGCTTATAAAGAAATCAAAGGTCCATTAACAACTAAAAATATATTTTAAAAAAACTAAAACAGAAGGTTGGAGTGTAGCTCAGTGGTAATGCACTTGCCTAGCATGCACAAGGCTCTGGATTCCATCCCCAACACTGCAAAAGAAGTATGTTTAGAATCTGGGGGTATAGCTCGGTAATAGATCATGTACTTAGCTTGTGTGAGATCCTGGGTTTGATTCCTAGCACCAAAAAGGAAAAAAAAAAAAAAAAGAAGAAGGAAGGAAGACAAAAAACCAAAAAACTGTATCCAGTTTTTTTTTTTTGTTTTTTTTTTTAGGTTTAAATTCCCATTCACTTTTTTTTAATTTGTTCTTTTTAGATACACATGACAGTAGAGAGTATTTTGACATACTATGTATACATGAAGTATGAATTCCTATTCTTGTGGTTGTACATGTATATTGGTTGTGTATTCATAATGAACATGGGAAAGTCCAATTCATTCTATTGTCTTTCCTATTCCCATACCTCTTTCCCTTCCCTCATTTCCCTTTGTCTAATCTATGAACTTCTACTCCCCGACCCTGCCCTTATTTTGTGTTAGCATCTGCGTATCAGAACATTTGGCCTTTGGTTTTTTGGGATTGTCTTATTTCACTTGGCATATTTTCCAGTTCCCTTTACTGGCAAATGCCATAATTTTATTCTTCTTTATGGCTGAATAATATTCCATTGTGTATGTATAACACATTTTCTTTATCTATTCATCTATTGAAGGGCACCTAGGTTGGTTTCATGGCTTAGCTATTGTGAATTGAGTTGCTATAAACGTGATGTGGCTGCATCACTGTAGTAGGCTGATTTTAAGTTCTTTGCAAAAACCTGTATCTTTTTTTTTTTAAAGAGAGAGTGGGAGAGGAGAGAGAGAGAGAGAGAGAATTTTTAATATTTATTTTTTAGTTCTCGGCGGACACAACATCTTTGTTGGTATGTGGTGCTGAGGATCGAACCCGGGCCGCATGCATGCCAGGCGAGCGCGCTACCGCTTGAGCCACATCCCCTAAAAAACCTGTATCTTAAAATGCCCTTTATTGTGTTTGTATATGTATTTCTGGACATTCACAATGCATCATAACCTAGAACTAAACACCACATTCATTCTTCAATAATTGTAACAATACAAATTTTAAATGGATAATTATCTTATGAGTCCTTTAGCCAGCCAGTCATAGTAGTGGGTGCCTGTAATCCCAGCAACTCAGGAGGCTAAGGCAGGAGGTTTGCAAGTTCAAGGCTGGCCTCAGCAACTTAGTGAGACCCTGCCTCAAAAAATAAAAAGGGCTGGGGATGTAGCTCAGTGGTAGAGACCCGCCCCTGAGTTGAATCCCCAGTACTGCAGGGGGGAAAAAAAGTCTTTTAAAACCATTCTTAAGTATCCTTAAAGAATTATTAGAAAACATGCTGGTTTTTACCTTTGGATAAATAAATATATGCATAAATATACTCACATACTTGCTGGTGTGGTCAGAGAAAATTTCAGGAGGGATAAAAGGAAAATGTTCAATATGTTTACTGTGAGTGATGCTGGTAGGTAAAATAGGGAAATCTTTTTTTTTTTTGCAGTACTGGGATTGAACCCAAGACCTCACATATGGTAGGCAAGCACTCTACATTCCCAACTAGGGCCAATAATTGGGTCCACATATCTCCTTCAGAGTTTACTAATTGGCATAGGAGTAACTAGTCCTGCTATCTATCTACCTAACCCGTCACCTTCTCATTCCCAGTTGGAAGTTGTCAGCCTAGTGGAGAATGAGGTGGCTTTGCTCTGCCATCTTTCCCAGGCAGAGGGATAAGGAGAGGTGGAATGGGGGATATGCTCATCTTGCCATGAAATCAATAGAGGGCAAATTCAAATATTTAGAATTATCTGTAAGAAGGGATTAATCAGAGCTGTGGTTGTGGCTCAGTGGTAGAGCACTTGCCATGTGTGAGGCACCGGGTTCATTCCTCAGCACCACATAAAAATAAATAAATAAAATAAAGATCTGTCAACATCTAAAAAATATTTTAAAAAAGAAGGGATTAGTTACTTATCTGTGGGCTCACCTTGCTGTTGCCCAAAGTGGAAATGAGCAAGGGGGAATATACATAAATTACATACTTAGAGAGAGAGAGAGAGAGAGATAACAGATTCATGTGCACATAATGCCTAGCTTATTGATTTTAAACTTAATAATTTCATTGCTTCTAAAATGTCTTCCCACTTCCATGTAAAAAGTCCAGAATATTATTTATGGTAGTCTACTGAAGAATACTTAATTCTGCTTTTATAATGCTACTTTTAAAGCACTGCATGTGTAATAGCTACTGTTTTTGGTTTGAAGTTTTTGTTTTGTTTTGTTTTTGCTTTTGTTTTTGATACCAGGAATTGAGCCCAGAGTCTTTTAATAACTGAACCACATCACCATCTCTTATTATTATCATTATTATTATTTTAATTTTGAAACAGGGTCTCACTATGTTGCTTAAAGTCTCACTAAGTTGCTGAGGCTGACTTTGAACTTGCAATCCTCTTGCCTCAGCCTCCTAAGCCACTGGGATTACAGGCATATGCCATCGTGCCCAGGTAATAGCTATTTTTTAAAGCAATGAAATACATACTGATTTTGAAAAGGAAAATCCAATAGCCATATATCTGAAATTTGGTGAGGAAGAGAGATGAGATAGATGCTTCCTGAGCAAATTTTATAGGAAGGTGTTTAAATTTTGAACTAAAGTGTAAAGAATTTTCAGAAGGGAGATTAAATAGTATCCACTGTCCAATCCTAAGTGAAGAGCAAATTGCTTTTAAAAAGTTCTTGGAGCCGGGCATGGTGACACACTCCTGTAATCCCAGCAACTCTGGAGGCTGAGGCAGGAGGATCAGGAGTAAAAGCCAACCTCAGCAATTTAGCAAGACCCTGTCTTGAAATAAAAGTAAAAAGGGGTACGAATGTGGCTCAGTGGTTAAGTGCCCCTGGATTTAATTCCTGATACCAAAAAAAAAAAAAAAAAAAAAACTTCTTGGGCTGGGGGTTTAGTTCAGTGGTAGAGTGTTTGCCTAGCATGTGTGAATGTGTGAGCCCTGGGTTTGATTCCTAGCACTGCCAAACAAAACAAACTAACTAAACCTCTATGCCTTGTTGCTAAAAAAAAAAATCACTTTAAATAATAAAGAAAGTTTGACTATTCTGGCTCTATACTTAAATTTTTTAAAATCTTAAATATTGAAAATCTTGTTTTTATAAATATCAGCTAATTGAAAGTTATTTATGGGGTCAAGTAAAAATAGTAGTGAATCTGGAAATGATAATGTAATTATAGTAAGCAATGGTCTTGCTAGACAGTTTATATTCCTTCAGATATAACTACTATGGATGATTCTAGGAATAATAATGTGAGTTGATTTTTTTTTACCTATTAAGTCATCTTGTGTCCTAAAAGTCACTTCTGTGTGTTTGAGAATTGAGGTAGTTGTGTTTTATTGTTTCCGAACTATACTGAACACAAGTAGGGCTTGACTGAAGTAAACATTAGCCTCTTCAGTAATGATTACCAGCCTCAAGGCAATGGGTACCTTGCTGCTTTGATCACAGCAATAGATTTTCTTCTCCCTTGATCCATGATCTCAAACTTAAACCCTGGATCACCTATACTCAGATTTTTCTATTTTTAACCTGATCTCATTGCTTAGTATATAAACCAATTCCATCTAAGCCCTGATGTTTCTTGTGTTTTATTAAAATCCTGAAGAAAGCAAGAGAAGACGTGCTATCACAACTATTTAACATTGTTCTAGGAGTTCTAGCCACTGCTACAAGATCAAAAGAGGGGCTGGGGATGTGGCTCAAGCGGTAACGCTCTTGCCTGGCATGTGTGGGGCGCTGGGTTCGATCCTCAGCACCACATAAAAATAAAATAAAGATGTTGTGTCCACCGGAAAAAAAAAAAGACCAAAACAGATGGGATAGGGAGGAAATAAATTATCATTATTAGAAGAATTTAGAAACCATGCAATTCTATATGTAAAATTCATTTTGGTGGTTAAGAAGTAAATGAGTGTAGTGTTCCTGAAACAACCCAACAGCATCCTAGGAAGAAAAGATCCCATTCAGAAAGTTATACACTGTATTAAAAAAAAAAAAGTTAACTTTTTTCAAGAAATATATAGGTCCAATATGGAGAAAACTACAGATCTTTAGTGAGAGATGTAAAATATTTGAGTAAATGTAGATATGCCAAGATCATATGTTAGAAATACAAAATAGTGGATTCACCCCTAGTTATTGTAGTGGTATTAGTAATGCTATTCTGAATACTATTTGGTGGTTGCAAAAATGATTCTCAAATTTTTCAGAAAGAATAAAGGATAAATAACCAAAATAAACAATTAAAATAAATTGAAGCTATTTACTTGCTAAATACTACAATATTATTACTACCAGTAATTATGACTGCTTTATCATCACTTAAATAATCTGAACAGTGGAAAAGAGTGGAAAATTCAGAAGCAAATCAATGAATGGATGCAAATATAATATAGGTGAAAAGTAACATTTAATTTAGTGAGGAAAAAATATTAAACATTTGAATAAAATCATACTTATAAATCACAACAACATACACACAAAAATTCCAAATGATAAAAGACTTAAATGTGAAAACAAAACTATTTAAGACCACTTTTCTAAACAGAAAGAGTAATTACTTTCATAATATTAGGGATAGGAAAAGTCTTCCTTTGAATGGCTGCAAATGTTGAATATATGATGGAAAAGATCAGCAGATCTGGCTGTGTAAATATTAGCTTTTTTTTCCTGGTTGATTTTTGGGTTTTTGTTTTGTTTTGTTTTGTTTTTGTTTTTGTTTTGTTGTTGTTTTTGTTTGTTTTTTTGGTGCTGGGTACCAAGTCCTGATACATGCTTGACTGGTACTCTACCACTGAGCTACATCCCCATCCCTAATTTTAGCTTTTTTTTTTTCTTTTTAAAAGAACCAGTTCCTTTATAAAGATCTGTTGCTTTATAGTCTGTGACATGATATAAGATACATAACTAGTTGTTCCACAAATTACTCTTTGTAATAGTTCAATTCTTAAATTGAAACAATCCTTTTTTCTAAGTGCCACTTGGGATTTCATACCCCAGTTTGGCAAGATTTTTTTTAATTTTGTCATAACTTTCACTTGAATATATTTGAGATTTCCTTCAAATATCACAAGTATGTTTAAATTAATGATGTATAGATTTTGTGAAGAGAAGAAATAGTAGAATATATTAGTTCTATTGGTATTAAATATACTAGCATGTGGTCTTTCTAATGCGATATTAACAAGTCCATTTTAGATATTGGTATCTGAATTAAAGATAGCCTCTAACAGAACATTTGTCTGCTATATTAATAAATAGCTCTCTCTACTTCACAGTTTCTTCCGGTCACTTTATAATTTATCAGAATACCTACATGTTGTAAAATCCAGCTACCTATGGCACTCTTGTCCCAGTTGAGCTTACTACTTTTTTTCTCTCTTTTCAGGTATCTGGCATAATTTTGTTCTTGCCCTCTTGGGTATTTTAGCTCTTGTTCTACTGCCGGTAATTCTCTTGCCATTTTACTACACTGGAGTTGGGGTGCTTATCACTGAAGTTGCTGAGGTAAATAATGTATTACTGGTACTTGGGGCACTCTTTCTCCAGATGTTATGATCTAATACTTAGCATTTAATATCAGGCATTTTATTCAAGTTCTCATACACAGAATGCTCAGTTTCTTCTGAAGAAATTACTGCAGTTCTTTCAAATGTAATGTTGGGAAATACTTTCACTCACTTTTTCTTTCTTTCTTTCTTTTTCTCTTTCTCTCTCTCTGTCTTTTGCTTTATCTTTCTCTCTTTGTCTCTCTTCTTTGTCTCTCTCTTTCTCTCTCTCTCTATCATTCTCTATCTTTTTCTTTATCTCTCTTTCTTTCTTTGTCTCTCTCTTTCTTCCTTCCCTTCCTTCCTTCCTTTCCTCTCTTCCCTTTCCTTTCCTTCCTTCCTTCCTTCCTTTTTATTGTGACTTGAGGATTCAACCCAGGACACTCTACCACTGAACATATATATATCCCCAGCCCTTTTTATTTATTTATTTATTTTGAGACAGATTTTTACTAAATTGCCCAGATTTCTGATCCTCCTCCTTAGCCTTCTGAGTTGTTAGGATTATAGGTATATGCCACCATGTCCAGCTCTTCTATTCTTTTAAGGAATTTTTTTAAATTATTTTTTAGTTGTAGTTGGACAAAATACCTTTATTTTTATTTTTATGTGGTGCTGAGGATCGAACCCAGTGCCTCACACATGCTAGGCAAGCACTCTACCACTGAGCCACAACCCCAGCCCAAGGATTTTTTTTTAATGTGTCTACTGCTGGGGTTTTGTTTGTGTTTTTGTTTTGCAATACTAAAGATTGAACTCAGGAAAGCTCTACCACTAAGCTACATCCCTAGTCCTTTTTATTTTGTATTTGGGGATAGGGTCTCGCTAGGTTGCAGAGACTGGCCTTGGACTTGTGATTCTTGTGCCTCAGCCTCTGAGTCACTTGGATTACAGGCATGCACTGCTACACCCAACAGATATAAAGGTGTTATAATACTAATTTGAGTATCAAAAGATTTTGCCTTTTAAAAATTCCATGGAAATTGTTTTGTTCTGAGTTACAAAGATAATATCAAGATTATCTATCTCCATGTAGTTTGTTAATAAAATTAATTGTTTACATTTACTGTTAATTTTTATGCCTCTGCTTTTGAGACAAATGTCATTTCTCCTAAGTAGTAAGAAAGATGAAACCTAAGCTATCCAGACAAAACATTTTATAGGAGTTTAAGTTAATGTCTTCAACTTTGTATTTCATTCCCTTATACAATGACTACTATAATGGCACCAGATCTTCCCTTCAGACATTTTTAAAGAAGAAAATTGCTTTTGTGAGTTTACCTGTTCATAGTGCTGATAGTATTGTCTGCATATTTGGGACTATATTTATATTCGGACTTATAAAATTATATGTATTTTGAGAATATGGGAAAGTTTCTCCAAAATATGGTAAAAGCTGTGTGTGTGTGTGTGTGTGTGTGTGTGTGTGTGTGTGTG